CAGCCCCCCCCCCCCCCCCCCAGCTGCAGGGCAGCGTGAATTTTCAGCTGCTCTCAATAATATTTCTGGAATGTAAGAGGCAATTGCAAACATAGGAGTGGGACAGAGGTTCGTATTATATGCGGGCCTGGCTTTGGAGGTTTTTTTTATGGGGGGGGGGCTGTGTTTTGCGCAGCGTCGCTTGACCCGGGAGCGACGCGTTGGAAGTGCCGAGTGGAGGGCGCTGTCGGCGAGCGCCTGTCGGGGCCGGCACGGCACTCAAGGGGTGGTGGGGCCACAACGCCGTCCCAGCTGTTGGCCTCGGGCACATCAATGCCAACAGCTACCTACCTGTTTCAGGCTGAGTTGCCCCAGGGAGACAGAGACGAGATTTAACTCCATTGGCAGCTGCTGCTGGTGCAGTGTGGGCAGGAGTTGCACCTGGGCAGCTGCTGGGGGGGTCATTGTGTAGGCGTGTGATTACCACCACGTATGTACTGCACTACACGTATGCAGCACAGTGTACACTCGCAAGCAAAAAACACGGCACACAGGGAAAACGCACCGCGTCCAAGAAGACAAAGACCCCCTGCCCAGCGCCGTTTGCGAGCACTGGGGCTGGCACAGGGCGCTCGCCATGCACACGAAGCGTGAACCTTGCAACTCGCAACACATTCACACGCGCGCACAGCATGCACAAGAAGACAAAGTCGCCACACGCACACACACGTCGTCGTGTGCAGATACCATCCACAGACGTCACATGCACGCGCGACACACGCACAACACCGTACACGCGAAATACAAAAATATACAAGGATGCATATACAAAGACACAGGTCCCCCGTGTTGCCTACATAGACTGTTGGAACAAGTGCAGTTAGCGAGTGCCGATTAATGCCAAAACGGGGCTCAAACCAGCACCACGCCCGGCCACCTTTGTCTCCCCAATGCTGATGTCTCCACTCGATACCAAGAACTTATTTAGTGTCGAGCCAACCTAGGAGAGGTCCAGGACTGGTTCTGACATCACATGAGTGGCACGCTAACCACTCTGCCCTCGCTCTTCCCCACGCACACTGCGTTTGTAAACATGCACAATAACTCCAACTTCTTGGGGCGGGCTGGATAGTCGAGCAACGTTTATCTTGGTCACAGCCAGGCCCTGTGTTGACGGATTAGCCAGTTTGTTTGACATTCGTTGGCATGCAGATGAGGCTCACCCTGCTGGGATTGAGCCTCGCGAATGCTTCAGACCCCACGACGTCAGCGAGGTCACGCAGCAGGGAGGCTGCACCCGAGATTAGGGTGGAGGAGTGCTTGAGCTCCGTTAATCGTGCCCTGTTAATTATCCCAGCCCAAACGGCAACTATATTACTACTACTTGGACATCAGCTAGTATTATAGTTGATGTACAACTCTAATACTACTAATTGTACATTAACTATTATTATATTATTATAGTTGATGTACAACTCTAATACTACTACTTGTACATCTAGTAGTACCTGCCAGGGTAGCAAGTCCTCCCAGAACTCGACTCGCAGTAAGAAGGTCGCAAGTTCAGTCGACTCAGCCCACCCATCTCCTCTGCGATCATCACGGTTGGCTACATATGGCGCGAAAGAAGTTCAGCATCTGTGCGCACAACTGTGCGTGATGCCATCGACAGCTGTGGCGTGAACAGACTGGCGTCGCCCTGGGAATGTGGAATGTCCAGTTGCTGACTCGCGGCCCCTGCGCGGTGCGGGGAGAGACGGCGGCGGTGTTTACTCACCACAGCTGTTTACTCACCATGGCTGTCTGCTCACCACAGCTGTTTACTCACCACGGCTGTCTGCTCACCACAGCATCTCCTTCACTCTGCTTTCATGTCGTTATCAAGCAACGCAGGCAGCGGAGGATAGCTCTCGGCTTGAGGGCCATGATGGGGAAAGCCCGCGTTGATTTGCATTGCCTTGCTTTAAAAGATGCATTTTTTAAAGCATTCCATAGTTGCTCATTGCGATAACAGAATAGTTAATTTGTTTTAAGAATCGTGAGTGTAGGCCTAGCCCTTCTGTTCCAAGTGTAAACTGTGCCCCAGGTTGAGTCTGTGTTCCCTAATCGGCATTTGAAGTGTTCTCATCGTTATTTGGAAATAATCGGTGTAATATTAACTCTGATACCTCGCTGCCAAGATCATCGTCGTTCCTTTAAATACAAATTCCACCCTGGGTGAGGTGGAACTCGGCGCCGGTGGTGACCCCTGACCCAGTGATGGAGATTGCACGTTCCCATTGACGCCACGGTTCTCTTTATGGGAAGACCACTGTGGGTTTGCCACTACTTAGTACTCGTTTTAACGACCACGAAGAGACGCTGGGCCGAGTCGTTCCCCGGCCGGGATTTAAACTCGCAGCCTTCCGATTGTGAGTGGAGCACTCTGAGCAGTATCGTGCTGCGAGGCTGGTGTACGATAGCGAACATTGCTTCTACAATTATTGCTGGGTACTGGAGCGGGGCGGTGCAGCGGTTAGCACAGTGCGCTACGAAACCGAGTGATCTGCTGCGTTCCTTTCCCGGCCACGGCTACGTTGATTTTGTTTAACCGCTTGAGAACGTCGGTGGTGACATCTGAACCGGTCCTGTGACACCCTTCTGGTCAACAACCTTCATGACCCGACACGGCGTGGGGAGGCCTTCAACCAGCAGTGGACTTACAAAGGGTCGTGGTCCAACTGTGGCTGGAGCAGCAATAGCTTTTACAGGCTTCCCCGATAAACACCTTGTGGGGCCTTGCATACAATGAGGGATTTACACAGCCTGATTGCAAAATTACCTCCAGATGGTGGCCAACCCTGTGGACTGCCAAAGAAAAGTCCGGGCGCAATACAAAAGTTGCGCGAGTGATTCACGTGAAGGCGAAATAATTGCAGATGGCTAGAGGCCTGGCCAGCTGCAGACAACTGTGGCAGTCCCTTATCTGAAAAGTCACCAAAACAAAGAATTAAACAGTGGCTCCAACTCCCACTTGGGTGGCTTATCTGTCTGAAATGTAGATAAATATAAAAGGTCCCATTGTTCATAATAGGTCCCTTGATGGCTTGATAAAGGCGCTGAAGCCAAAATAGGTGGGGCTGCCTTTCTGGCCAGGGACTAGGATTTTGGAATTTGTATTTATAATTCCACTGTGTGTGTGTGCTTGTAATGTGTGTGTGGTCTTGGGTGGTGCAAGTGGAGTATTTATCTCCCACAGTAATGTGAATGCCCCTGATTGGCCAATTGACAAGCTCACAAGAGTGGGTATTTTTCCCCACAAATATACAAATACCGGACATGTACATCATCACGTGTTGTTGTTGCTGTGCTTTACCGTTGTGTCCCTCCAGTCGTTGCATCTCACTCTTGTTCTCCTCCTACCAAACTCGAGCACCACTTTAGTAGCTTCCTTTCTTAATATCGTCAACCATTGCCTGTGGTTAATCTCCACTGGTTGTTATAATAAATACGTACGGAGGTGTACAGAAAATGCAAGACAAAAAACCCCCCTCCCCTCTCCCCTCTCACCATACACACGGTGATGGGCAAGTGCTGTTGGCGAGTTCCTGCTGTGGTGGGGCGTGAGGAGGCTGGCCCCCCATGATGCTTGCGAACCCAAAATCTCGTGGTTCAGGCCGAGTTGACCCGAGGCAGATTCAGATGCCACTTGCTCCTGAAACTATCCACGGCTTGGGGAAAAATCGAACCTAAGTTGCGTCGTTTGTAAATGAGCGTGACAAACACTGCACCCCTGCTGCACTCCTGCTGCACTCTAATGTATGTACTATATGTTGAACTTATTTTCACCGTACGTAGGCAGTTGTGCTAATCAGAGGTGCGGACACGATATACACAGCATCGCTACACGCAGTCTGCTTGCCAAATGTTCTGCATTAATCATAACAGCGAGTCAAGTAAGAGTCAAAGCATCTCAGACCAGCGTGGAGCAGTGCAGCAGTGGTAATTCCACATTCTGGTGGCATGTGCTGTTCAGGAAGTTGACTACACTCATCATAATAATGATAATAAGACACTGAGTGCATAGTGGCTGCTGAGAGAAGCTTCTCTAAGACTGTGAGCCTCATTATTCTTGAAGCCAGTGTCTTGATTACACCCTTCATTACTTATTAACCTCATTAGGAGTATATGTTTGCAATGTTCCCTTAATCACCATTGGCTCCAATTCCTGCTGCTTGCATTACCCCAGAAGACAACAACGGGTGTTTGTTAGCCTCTGTGTTAAGGTCTCATTCAATTAGCCACGCGAGTCCATGGGAGTGTATTTGTTTATTCGATTTGTAGGTTGGCTTGCATGAGCATTATACATATGGAGTGAACCTCCCTCCCCGATCTGTCGCTCCACATAAACAATATATTGTTGACGCATCTCATCAGTCGCACGGCTTTCTCGGGGTGCATGATATCAGCCGCATTGGTTCAGCACCAGCGGTTTCGACATTCACTGTCTCATCACAGTCAGGCTTTCTGGAACCAATGCCGGTTTTATAGGCAACGACTCTTAAGATGTGGGTCCTAGTTTGACACGCAGCTATAAAATACACAACACTGAATAATCACTTCGCTTTGTTGTGGAGAATAAAAGTAACGAATTAAACAAGTGGCCTACAGTCATTCTTTCCCAATCTAAATACGTTTTGTCTTTTTATATGGAGGGACAGACATGCGAAGGAGGGGTTGTGCCCGCTTGTTTAGTTGTGAGTACAGTCATCTCCAAGGGCACTACGTTGTTTTGTTGATAAGGGGTCACAGGGCGCCCCGGTGGTGAGATGTTAACTACCTCGCCTGGCTCTGTCTCACTCTGTGTCTCTTTCTCTCTCTCTGTGTCTCTCTCTCTGTCTCTCTCTCTCTCTGTGTCTCTCTCACGCTGTGTCTCTCTGTGTCTCTCACTCTGTGTCTCCCTCTGTGGCTCTGTGTCTCTCTCTGTGTCTCTCTCACGCTGTGTCTCTGTGTCTCTCTCTCCCCGTGTCTGTGTGCGGCAGTGAGGAGGAGGCGCGGGAGCATCTCCAGGTGGCCGCGTCGCTCCCCGTGTGCGTGCTCAAGCAGCAGCCCGGGATCGCCACCTGGTACGTGGGAGGGGTGGGGCCACTTGACCATGCTTCACCACGCCGGCCCGTGCGGTTGGGTGAAGGCGGGTACCGGCAGAGACGTATGGAGCACAGCGATACATCACAACGGTGGCTTTTGCTGCACTCCCCTCCTTCTGACCATAACGTATCCCCACAGCCAACAGCAACCAAGTGTGCATAGCGGTCACCCATCCAAGCACCATGTAGGCACAAGCCTGTTTAGCTTGTGAACGCCTATAGAAACACCCACCTACGCAATGCGCTATGGGTGGCTAATCGGTCAAGATGAACGCGAGACCGTTGCTATTCGCGACGTTGTATCCCATCGCGAGCGTGTGCTGTCGTGCTAATGAGCAACCTGAAGAAGTTTGGGTAGTCCGTGTGTGTTGAACTTCTTTTTGCACCATACGTAGCCAACCGTGATAATTGGAACAGAGACACGCGGTCGGTCTGCAGCAATAGCAGCGCGTGGACTTGCGAAGACAACGCCGCCGCGTGTCTGCACGCGGTTCGGACTGAGATGAGCGCCAACCAATTTCTCGCCGCGCGTGGGAGACCCTCCTTGACCTGGCCCTGACTTTGCCGAGCGTGACGCTCGCGTGCAGCCATGGGTGTCTCGAGCAGAGCCACGGCAGCAGGGAGATGAACTCGCTCGTCGCTGCGCTCACGCGGCACAGGTGGCCTGTGCGAGGGGTGCGTGCGTGCCTCCTCTGCGGTGAGCACGTGTGGATGTTTTGTCAGCGTGCTCGCTCGAGCGTTGCGTATGGCGTGACGCAATTTGCTTCTGTTTTTTGAACACTTGTCACTTGTGAGTGTGTGCACGTGTTGGCACAGTGGGGAGCGCACAGGTGGTGCATCTGCCATTCATCTCGGTCAGTCAACTCATAACACCCGGGTCTGCCAGCGAACCTTCCATGCGTCACGTGAAGGCTTCATAGTGCACCTAGCCTGGCACAAGTGTACTGACGTCACGGCCGCTTAGTGGTGAATGACAGCTGTTGTACAGGGTGTGTGTGTCGAGGGGTTTGACTGTGTTAAGAGTATGCAAGCACGTGTCTGTGTTAGCACGTGTCTGACAATCTGTAAGGCTTAACAGAGGTCCCTTGTTATAGTATGTGTTAGAGAAAGTGTGGTATGTGTGTGTATTTATACACACACATACACCACAGCTGGTGAGTCTGCAATCACCCCAGTCTGTTACTCATAGTCCTTGGGTCAGTCCCACTTCGCCTAAACCCCTACCCTCCTTGTATCCTCAAAGTGTACCCAGCCTGGCACCGAGAGTGATACAGTGGTTTTAGATCTGTGATACATGCAGAACGTGAGTGCTACTGGCAGTGGATCTCCTCTAGGTCGACTCAGCCTTGAACGAGTACCTGGTGACAAGTGGCTGGGAGTGACACCACCCCCTCGTGTGCTCGTGCCAGCCACTGGGTGCTCGCCAACACCACTTGCCCCAATGTGTTCCAGGTTAAAAGGAAGACCTTTGTAATTATTATTGCAACAACTTGTGTGTGTGTGTGTAGATAGCGTGGCCGCACGAGTGCATGTGCGTCAGGGAGTGTTAACGAGATCTTTACTCCGGCACACTCGCTCGCACGCACATTTGCATTTTTCTGTTTGCGTGCATTTTTGTGTGCGTGCGTGTGTTTGGGTGTCCGTGCATGAGTTTGATTCCCGATCACGGCCACGACCAGTGACTATTGTCTGAACCGGTTCTGGGCCTTACTTGGGTCGACTCGGCCTCAAATGAGGACCCGGTGAAGTGTCTTAAACATCATTAATAGGGAGACAAAGGCGGTCGGGCATGGTGCTGGCCATCCACCCCCTCATGCTCCATGCCGACCTTCACAGGTGATACTCGCCAAGCACTTGCCCCAACAGCCTGTGAAGGCTATACGGGGCACCTTTGTTTTTGTTGTCCGCGCGTGTAACTTCAAAGGGACCGGGAGACCAAGGCCCCCTAGTCCTCAATGGGCCCCGCTGCGTAGCCCCCTGCGTGTGGGGGGAGGCCCCGGGGGTCACAGGGCAGTGGTCACAGACAGGAGGCGTGGTCCACTGCCTGCAGACGCCTCCTGTCTGTGGCCACCGCAAAAGCCTCGAGCGTCGACCTGCGTGGCGAAGTCTGCGCCGACATTGGCACTGAGTGTGTGACGTCTACAAACTGTCGTTGTCGTTGATCATCCTTCCCTGCAGGGGTTACCGTGGACTTGCTCGTTACGGGCGGAACAAACGGATTCACTTCTTTTACAACTTTAGTCGCAAAGCGTTAAAAAAGATGGAGGGCTCCCTTACTTTAATTGCCGGAAAGATCCACAACATCGCAGGGAGTTAAAATCTGCTTCTGAAAGTTAAATTAAATTGAAAAGCAGCCAGTTCTCCACCCAGCATCGTGAGATATGTATATTTTATTTTACTAGGTAAGGCTCACTGAGCTGTATAGCTCTTTTTCAGAAGCGACCTGGCCACCAATAATAGCTCAACGAAGTGGCTTATCACGTGGAAATTTATAGCAGCCACATACTCTAAAAAAGCACGTTTCTATATGTAGAGGAAAAAACCAGAGGACCTGTAGAAAAATTAACGTGACCACCGGGAGAGAGACACGCAAACTCCAAATATACAGCAGGCATCAGGGTCGGGATTGAACCCATGACCTCCTGCATACCAGGCGAGGTAGTTAACATCTCCCCACAGTGGTGCCCATATAATGCCGATGCCGACGCGTTTCAAATGCCCCTCCGTACGCCGGGCATCGTCGACTCGCGAGGAGAGTCCCTCGCCCGCCTCGCTGGAGGCCGCCGTGGCCGTGCACCTGAAACGTCACCACAGCCGCCACTACTTGCAGTGCCTCTTGAACCTTTTTCTGTGTCTACCAAGCGGCGTCATCCGTCCACGAACACGCGGAATTAAAACACAGTCTTTGTTTGTTCGATTTAGCGCATAAGTGGTGCAGTACAGTAAGTAGGTCCGTGTGGATTTTTTTGTTACGCCGCATCTCCAATGCGCCGCTTCCTGCGGGCACTCTGGTCTCAAGTGGGGGAACCCTGCACAGAAATTGTTTTACATTTAGTAAAAAAAAACACTCAACATTTTCTAGAAATAGAATCGGTTTGAATGTTTTACGGCATTCCTGGGTAAATAAAAGACGTTTACACTATTTTTTTGGCACACTCTTCCAATGGAATACTTCCCTTCACATAGCTTGTATAAACAATGACAATTCTTCTTCGTTGTGTTCCTTGCTTTCTCTGCCCGCAGTGAGAGCCGGGTGATTGAATATTACAAGAAGCTCCAGGGACATTCCAGGGGACAGGCAATCGTCAAGTGAGTGAGCATAAATACGAAGAGCTATTTTTTGCAACTGGCAGTTTTTAAACTTGTTTTACAAATAAAATCTCAACAATTTGTCTTTTAGATTATACATTCCCATGGCAGGGGCCAGTCTATCCTTGTCTGCAGAAAAATCGCAGTCCATTTCCTACAAAGGATTTCTACATTTATCGACCCTGGAAGTATGATTGGCTGAGTCTACGTCCTAACCAGATGCGAATGCTCCAGCCAGCGGTGGACATTCCACACTTTCGCAGCGAGAGAAAGTCAACCCTTAACACGAGCACTCGATACTTCCCAAAAAGAGCTGTCAGCAACTGTATTGGCCGCCCAGGGACGATGGGCCGAGTTTCAACCCCCGTTTTCAGGTTGCAACTCGCATTCTCCCAGCTGCGAGTGAGGAATGTTTGCACGTTAAACTTCTTTCTCACCGTACGTAGCCAACCGTGCTAATCGGATGTGCTCTCCCAGCGAAGTGCCGTGTGGTTGGGCGACTCCCCGCCGTGTGGACTCGCACTCGGCATGCACGGTGGCCACGCGGAACCCACTGTGGGCCGCCCAGCAAGGCGGCGCTCGCTCTACGCCCGTCTCTCAGTCGATGTCCGTTGTCCCGCTCTCTCCCGTACATTCCTCGAATCCTCTCTCCTTCGTCCCTGTCAGGGCCGGCCTCTTTCGGGGGATGACCGAGTACCCCTCTGTGGGACGTTAACGTTGGTCGATCGTGGATGGCTTCCCAGATTGTATCTTGGCACCGCAGCCACGCGGGGGCTCAGTGCTCTGACGTAGACACAGCATTGCCCCTTTGAGCCGCACGAGCATTTCTAGAGGCGAAAGTGCAGTCCTGCAATTGCTCACTCTTTGCCACTGCAGGCAGAAGGGCCTCCACTGGAGTGATCAATTGGAGGCCCCTTTTGAGGATATTTTGCCTATTCTTCCACGCTGGTCAAATGTCTTGGAAGAGGTCATGGCAGTGAATAAAAACATTGGGAAAATTCTGCAAACAACTTGGCCAGACCCTCCTGAAAAGTAGTTGTGAGACTCGGCGGGGAGGCTTTCCTGGGTGAACAAGCATCTGCGTAATCATCATCGTAATAATGAATGCCCAGTGTGTTAATCGATGTTGGTTTGTGGTCCGCAGTTATATGAAAATAATAGAAGCCTCTCCAAGCTATGGCGTGCACTTATATGGCGTGAAGGTGAGTGTCCTGCCCGTACGAGACGCACGACACAAGTTGTGCTGCAATGGCGTTGTCAGTGTGACCAGGTGGCTAAGCAGGATAATGCCGCAAGTGCTGAACACGGATTCTGGAGTCTAATCTGGGAGCCCCCCCCCCCGCCCCCGATGCTGTCGCGAGTCGATGGCCTCCGCTCGCTCGCCAATAGCGATGTCCACAGGCCCTGCTAGTCGCCTCAACTTGTCACTCATTGGCCCAGTCGCAGTGATGAGCGTTAAAACGTTCCATCTGGGGATCTACGGATGAAATTCGCCTTACAGATGTAAATTATTATCATTATTCACTTAACCGCCGTGCAACGAACACTCTGCGCAGAGCGTTTCCACTTCAGCCGAGTGCCCAGTTTGGGTGATAATTTCATGATTGAAGGGAATTCAGAAGTGGTTCTGTGATGTCACCATCTCGGTCCGTTTTTCTGACGCAAGGTGGTGCGCTGCTCGCAGCGAGAGTTTCACCACCTGACCTCACCCTCGGTGGGCACTGCTGCGTATCTCGCTGGGTGTGGGGGAGGCAAGGGGGTTACAGGGCAGTGGTTCATTGCCTGCACAGCTCTCCCTCCAACCCCTGTCTATGACCACAGTAATCCGGGTAATCTTTATTTTGAATGAATGAATGTTGCCTGTGCGTGGTTGCAGGACAAGCAGGGCACTGCCTGGTGGCTGGGTATCTGTACCGGAGGAATCTTCCAGTACGACTTTGGCAACAGGGCTCAGCCCAGACAGGTGAGTGGTTGAGTTGGGTGCGGCATTAATTCGGCCGCTCACTCGTCCAGTTCGTGACCTTTAATAGCGAGCGTTCAATGTGCCGGTGTGGTTGCATGCCGATAAGGGCCTTCTTCCAAAGCCACCGCCATTACCTCCATCGTTTCCTGTCAGTTCACTTTCATCGGTTGTCATGCAGGGAAATCTGAGGTGGTTAATGCCGTTCTCCATTTCTTATTGTTCATTTACTTCCCCAACCCAATTTTTGGAGATAAATAATCATCACAATTCGCTGTGAGTGTCTCCTCCTTGCCGTTATCCTCTTCTGATTTGTATTTTGTAAACACAAAATTTTGTTTCGTAATTATTTTCAAACATTTTTATCATGGCCTTGGTTTTGTGACATCTTGGATGACATCAGCATCAGTTTCCACCGAATCAGAAGTCTTTACGTTGTCTGTAAAAAGCCAAGCATACGCGGCCGTTTCTAATGCAGTATACCCACGTGCATCATACCCACGTGCATACGTCGGTGTAAAGGTGAATAGGTTACTGCGGGCAATGCAATTGATGCCACCAGGCCTCGCCATCGCTTCCTTCCTTCAGCCTGATCTTGCAAACATTTCAGTCGACACCCGACCTTCACGGTCCACTCCTCCAGTAGTTCTCCACTTGACGCGAGGCCTTCCGTATATCATGTGCGCTCATAACAATTGTACACGAATGGTTGCATGCATGTACAATGTGAATATATAGCCCTCTGGGCAGTCCACCACGCCGAATGGGGCATGGGATATGTTTGGCCATACTTCACCAGGCTGGTCAGTGCGGGCTGCCGAAGGTCGGGAGCGTAGACGTAGTAAGGACGTGATTCAGTACGACACTGGGTGTTGGTGAATTGACCCCTGCTGACAACGTTGCCCTGAAGCAGCAGTAGCCTTCGAGCGTCGACCGTCGTTTGGGCCGGTCACCCATCCAGGCTCAATCCTGCCAGACAGGCTCAAACCTGCTTAGCTTCTGAGATCTGACGAGATGGGACGCTTTCGGTCATAGGCTGCATGCGCATCGCTCGTATGCACAGAGCGCACGCGAAGGCACGGGCGTGGAAGATGAGAGATAGGAGCTGCCTGGGAGCCAGGGGGCCGTGAGCGTCGTGCAGACACGAGGAATGCCCGTCGGCTGCTACACACGCAGCAGCGCTTTCTTTGCGCTTGGGCGGGGAGAGATGCGCGGGGAGGGACGCGGCGATGGAGGAGATAGGGCGTGAGAACGGGAGTGATGATTTCCCGTGCAGACGCGCAGACACGCGGCGCTGCAAAGATGCAGGCCGCGTGGGACCCAGAACACTGAGAGACACGTGGTCTGCACTTGCTGTCAGAAGCATGCGCACCTTGCAATGTAGGAATGTTGCAAGCAGAATTATATTTTTTTTAAGTAATCTCTTATCGACAATTGTATGAGATTCTAGAAGTAGTGGAAAGTGTTGCTGTGTGCGGTGATTTCAAAGAAAGTTAATATAATTGCGTAGTTACTTTTACTCGTGTAGTCAGTGTTGCCGTGTCCAGATGACATGGCGGCATAACAACTCAAGGCCCTTGGCCTCACGCCTGCTCATAGACGACGGCTTCCAGGAACTACCAAGAACTCGGCTGTCACAGATCTTGGGGAGGGGCGGCGAAGGGGGGATGGGGGGGGGGGCAAAGGTCGTCTCACGGTTCCTCTGTAAATGGGAGAGCCCAGAAGCTTGTGAATAACCACAACAGCCATACCAGCCATACCAGCCATGGAGCAGGACACGTCAAGGGGCGGTAATCCTGTGCCGTCACAGCCGCTGAGTAGCTTACAGAAAGGGGGAGTGGTAGCGCAGTGATCGGAGCATTGCACTACGATGAACTTGGCGACCCGAGTTCAATTCCCGGCCACAGTCACGGCGTCACTGGCGAGTGCTATTTGAACTGTTCCCGGGCCCCCACCTTCACGGACCCGCACTGACCAGCACGGTGCAGTATTGTCGAACAACCACCGTGACCGACACGGCATCAAAGAGGCCTGCATTCATCAGTGCAATGACAAAGGGCTGCAACGATGTATTATTACTACGCAGCATAGCCGGTGGTTTACTTCGGTAAAGTGTGTACGGCAATGCATTGCTCGTGACGCATTGGGGTGGACGCTGCGTGTGTGCTGTGCTTTGGTGAAGTGAGACACTGATAGGCGGGTGTGTAGAGAGAGGAGAGCGTGCAAGCCGGGGGTGAATGAAAGAGAGAGGCAAACTGAGAGATACGGGACGGATAAATGAGGGTGCAAGTAGGAGAGGCGGAGAGCGAGAGAGATGGCGTTCAGATCAAGGTGGAGGACAGATGTAAACAGAGAGATAGGTGCCGAGTGAGCACTGTCTGTAGTCGACGTTAGTTTCACATACACCAGGAAGGCCTTTGTATGTGGTTGTGTGTATGTTAGTTGAACTTCTTTCGAACCGTACGTAGCCAACCGTGCTAATCGGAGGTGCGGGGGAAGGACAACAATCTAAACACAACAGGCAGTTCTAAAAAATGGAGTTTCTTATCTAGTTTTAAAAGTGCATAGCTCCAGTGGCTTCCTAAGTATATATAGCTGTGTGTAAGTTTATATGAAGAACTGTGACCTTGTTAAATGGAGTGCTCGACCCACAACCGGAACGTTGCGAGTTGTCCCGATTGTGGGTCAATAGCCCATCATCCCATCGTCCCATCATCCCATCGTCCCATCATCCAATCAGCCCAGCATCCCATCGTCTCATCGTCCCATCAGCTCATCAGCCCATCGTCCCATCGTCCCATCGTCCCATCGTCCCATCGTCCCATCGTCCCATCGTCCCATCAGCCCATCGTCCCATCGTCCCATCGTCCCATCGTCCCATCGTCTCATCGTCTCATCGTCCCATCATCCCATTATCCCATCAGCCCATCGTCCCATCGTCCCATCGTCCCATCGTCCCATCGTCCCATCGTCCCATCGTCCCATCAGCCCATCGTCCCATCGTCCCATCGTCCCATCGTCCCATCGTCCCATCGTCCCATCGTCTCATCGTCTCATCGTCCCATCATCCCATTATCCCATCAGCCCATCGTCCCATCGTCCCATCGTCCCATCGTCCCATCGTCCCATCGTCCCATCAGCCCATCAGCCCATCATCCCATCAGTCCATCGTCCCATCATCCCATCATCGTCATCAGCCATGATCGGTCTGCTATGAGACGAAGGCCTCCTCCAGCCACCTCCATCTCTGACAAGCGTGTGACATTATAATCCACCTCGCACCTGCGCACACGCTGATTTAGTCGCTCCCAGCCCCTCGCTGGACATCGTTCACCATCGCTCGGTCGTTAATGAAACGGTCGCCACTTTCTGGGAAGGCGACTGTTGTTGTCTTCAGGCCTTATTGCCTCCCACCATAGGAATGTGGAATTTCCACCCACTAGCTCTAACGCTGCTAGCAAAGTTGAGCCATGCTGGTTTGAGCAGTACTGGTGGTCAAGAGGAGGAGGAGGTTGGGCAGGGCTCATGTGCAGGGCAGATCGCCGTGACGGACCCTGGAGTGGCAGTCCATGAACAGTCAGGGACCAAGGTGAAGAGCTACAGCCGGACAGTGCGAGTCTCTCAGAACAGGCCTGGGAGGTCGGATGTCGTGGACTGTGCAAGAGTGGCAGGAGCTCAACTTCACGATCACTCTCTATGCCTCCCTTTACCTATACCGCTGCTGCTGTATTCGACGCTCTTCTGAAGTCTCCGTCATCACCGTTGGGCTGGGTACGATCAGGTTCACAACAGATGTTGTACATCCTTCGTCAGCAGCTTTTAATTAAAACAAATACGACAACGATGTCCTATAAACGGGGAGGAACCCGGGAGTCGGATGCAGAACTGCAGCGTTATCAGCCGAATGAGCTCACTGCCGTGATGTAACACAAGGTGTGATCTCATGGCGTGTTGGGAGTTGAAACAGCAGTGTCTGTTTACACACTGGCAGAGGCACAAAGGCAGAACAAACACAACACGGAGCCCTGCTATACCTTGTGTCAATACGCAACAGCTGGGGGGACAGTGTTTCAGTATACATCCCAATTCACACCACGGCACTTGTGCTTCTCGCTGCGTGCGAACGTTTTGTGCCCCTCGTGTTCAGATCGTACTGCTTGTGGGTTCGGCAGCGATGTCCGCACTGGGAGCTTTCTCGGTTCCTGAAGAAGCTCCCAGCACGTGGCGCGAAACGTCGGGCGCCGTGCCGAACAAAACGATCCAAACACAAACCAAATGTAACTTGCCCGCAGTGTTTTCACGCGGTCCTTGAGGAGTGGGCTGAGACCATCGGCTCGCTCCACACTCGGTCACGGGTGCTGGTACCCGCTTTGAGCTCAGCCACTCCTCAAACATGGCCACTATGAACTCTCCCGAACTGCCAGGCCAACATTAATGCCTACTGATGAGAACAAACAAAACAATTACTGATGAACAAGACGATTCGTATTTAGGCTAAGCATTTTGTGGCGCTATGTGAGACAACAACAACAACCGCCATTCACCACTAAGTGGCGGTGACGTCACCACGACGCTTGTGCCAGGCCATGTGCACCTTGAGGCCACGTGAAGTGTCGAACGCCCACTGGCAGAAGGTCACGGGGCAGACTCAGATGTCACAGGTCGACTGACTGAGACGACTGCGACGACTGGTTGATGCTGTGTGAGAGTGCACGGGCTCTCACACTCACTGGGTTGCAATTTCAACTGAGTCGGCATTAAACTCTTCTGAGGTTGATAAAATGACTACTCAGATATGGGAAGCGTTTGTCCAAAGCGTGCACACGGCTCCCGGTCTTAGCAACGTGGCGTTTTATTTTCATATTAGCTCGGAACCCTGAATGAAGATCGGTGGCATCACCGTGGCCCGACTTAGTGGAATCGCTCGAACGGCGAGGGTGGCCATCCAGAGAAGCTGTGTGCTGTGTAATCCAGGCGTAGAGGGTTAGCTAAGCGCATAAATA